TGTAAAATGTCTGACCAAGATACATAGATGCCTGCACTGAGACCAGCTACTGAACAACCACCAGCACAACAAGAAGAACACGTCCATGAGGATGATGACTACCGAGAGCCTGGACCTAGTTAAACTTCCAAACCAAGAACAAGAGCACAAGCCCGCTGAGAGACGCCACCAGCACCGACGGACGGTGATGACGTGATCACTTGTGTTTTGCTGGGACTGACAGTGTGCATGTTCTACATGAGATACAACCACGCTGTCTGAAAAATGACAGACATGCACACAATCAGATCCAGAACTCTCACGAGTGAATGAAAAGAGCGGAACCGGAATACTCTCTTGTGCGACAAACCTGGAACTTGACTAATGGCGTGCACTGCGAATGGTACTGTCCAATTACCAGCCAAAAAGTTTGCCAAGGATTGCGTGGGACACCAAATTAATTCAAGGTGTTGCATGAATGGACAGTGACAAAAGGGACACGCAAATGCAAATCAATCTTGTTATTGCCAATGGTTTCCAGGTATTTCCAATTGTACACAAGAGCCTAATTGTGTTGGACCAAGTGTCATACCTAGCAGGAAAAACAAATGGCTACAATGTGTGTTATCTCTTTTGCTACTCCTTAGAAATAATCATTCACTGCCAGCAGGTGATTCTTATGTAATATGTAGGAGCATGGGTACCAAAGCTTATTTAAAAGACATTAAAGGGAGAATAAGAGGAATAGGGATCCAAAAGCTGATCAATGTAAAGTTCCAATAAGAATGACAGTAGGAGCAAGGTGTGAGTTAGTCCTCTGTCAAGGATTTAAGTGTGAACCAATAGGAGGATTAGAAGAGTGTTGGGAAAGTGTACAATCTGTCTTTACTCTGTTTACTGGATAGTTTAAGCCCAAAGGTTGTTTGAAACAAGGGTTTAGACAATTGTACAGCTATGAGCAAACCTGTTACAGCTCCACCTCTGGTAATTAGGGATGGTAGATTAAATGATCCTTTTTTTTTGTCAAGAAGAAGGTAATGAGATTAATAGCATTGCGATCAGATGTGATAGAAAATTAAATGCCACCATTCAAATAAACAATAAAGGGAATGTTACTTTTGACATAGACTTTACTGTACTGATCTAACCCTGTAGCACACATATTTTGGATTTGTAAAGAAGGAAAGGAACTACTACAATCCTCATCAGATAATTGGGTAGGCTCAGTTACTCTTAGTGGGAAGGGAATGTTCTTATATTTGCATGGGGAGAAATAACAACTAGACATAAGAGGGACATTACTAAGAAAACAAACCAACACTAAATTGGGCAGGTGTTCCTGTACCACCAGAGTTTAAAGCTATGTCAGATGCAAGCTTAGGGTGTTTATCTATGTTTTTACCAAGTATTCAAACATCACAAAATGCCAAGTGGATAAATTATATTTGGTATAATCAACAAAGGTTCCTGAATTACACCATCAAGGCCTTAGAATTGTTGGGTCAGAAATAAGATGCTACTTCTCGTATGGCACTACAAAATCGATTTGCAATTGACATTATGAGAGCTCCTGATGAGGGCATCTGTGTTCTTTTTGGGGATGAATGCTGTAGTTACATCCCAATGCATACAGCAGCAGAAGGTAATTTTACAAAAGTAATGGATCAAAGGGGTCCCTCTCTATTTGCTGGAGGATAGTTTGAAAGGTTATTCTCTAGTCAGTGGACAGCTATCTTATTAAGAATGGGTATGATTCTATTGGTTATTCTTGTGGTTTTATTCATTTTGAGGTGTTGTGTTACATCTTTGGTATGCATCATGATTGTCAAAATTGTGGGGAATATTATGGGATATTTTCCTGTGTTACAAGTTGAAACTCCTACAACCAATAGCAATTTTCGTGTAACATGCCATGTTGCACCAGCTCAAGGACACCTAATTAGGGCTGAGTGACGTACAGGTGACCTCTTCTCAGCTCTCACCTAGCCCCTCAGTGTAACGTAAAGTTACTGGGGTGGAAGATAAACATCATGGGACAACCAGCTGGTTGCTTGCAGACTGGTAAAAGCCGCTTGAAACCAGTTTTTAGGAGTGAGCGCAACATGCGATGACCAAATTGATGGACAAAGAGATTTACCTATTCAAGACTGAGAATCCTTTTCTGAGTTTTCTTAATATTTTGTGTTTCATTCTATCCTTCGGTGACATTAGTTTGTGTTTTGGGAAAGGCTATAATACATTGCCAAATAAATATGTTTGTTTTAACTATTTCAAGGGTCTGGTTTGCTTTTAGGCTGATGCTGGCTACTGACATCCAAGAAGTTGGGTTCAAGACACCAGTTGCTTTTTTGGGGTTGAGAGCTGGGACTGAAATGGTCCAATTGTGGCTTTTTGGGTTAATTGGCTTTCTTGGGACACTTGGTATTTGGGACTTAAAGAGCCTGTATAATAGCCCAGAGGAGCTTTATAACCAGGGAGACCCGGATTTGCCATGCCTTATGCAGCTATGCTCACTCCCTATGCAAAAAGCTCACCAAACTGATAATTGGGCTAATAAATTTGTACTGAGTTTAGCAGTTTAACTGACAATGCGTGACAGGTTCCCAATGCACGAACAATGATTATTTAAGGAGGGAAATGAATGGGTTTTTATTTTTCTTTTGGGTTTTTCTTTTACTTTGAATTACGTTGCTAATTGATTTGATTTTTAGCTTGTTTTTGTTTTTTAACAATTTACTCTTTGATTTTATTCATTTTTCTTCACTTATTTTGATATTATTTTACTCATTCAACATTTATGACATGTTATTCAGCATTACTCACTGTTTGGTATGTTGAACACAATCAATTATAAGGTTCATGGTAAACCATGACAAGGGGGGGAAATGACAGAGATTTTGAATAAATATGTCCTTAATCAGTAATCAAATAGATTAGATATTGTAATTAATAACCAAATAGGTAGTACTGGCTAACAGAGAATATTAATTCTCTCACAAAGGGTAGGCCTTAGACACTAGAAAGCCCCTGGGTTCACAGACAGGCCTGTGTGTACCTACTGACCCAGGGAAGAGAGGGGCAAGTTGACCTCGAATGGTACAGCAGACTGGTAAAAACCAGTTGAAACCAGTTTTTGGGAGTGAGCACAACATGTGATGACCAAATTGATGGACGAAGAGATGTACCTATTAGAGAATGAGCTAATATCAAAATTTGAGAAGTAAGGCGGGGGGATATCAAATTACCCCAGATAAATGATGTATACACTGTTGTTTGGAACTCTGGAACTTTTTGACATCTTTTGAGAAGTTAGACTTTAGTATAAACAGTTATTAGTGAAAGTGTTTAGCCAGTAGTAAAAGATTTCTCTTTATTCATAATATTATGTTGGAGGCCTGGAGTTGAAGGGAATAGCCTTTTGTCCTGACAGGGGGACCAACGTCGGAAGCCCCATTCTCAAAAGCTGAGACTGAGAATGAAGTGAGAGATTTAAACGCGTGAAAAAATACACGATACTTGTAAAAAGGCATCATAAAGAAATGTTGAATTTGCGTTATAGTTCTTAAACATTAAATATTAAATGAAATAGTAAATATTGAGTATATGCAATTCTATTGAGTTATTGACAAATGAATAAATCCAAATAAATAAACAAGAAATAACAGTAATAAATAAATAAATAAATAAATAAATAAAAAGTCATAGAATAAACTTGATATAATTCAAGTGGTCTTTATTTAATTGACACTAACAAACATAATTTAATACAAGTGTTAAATACTTTGCAAACATTATTTATGTCTTAATATTAATGTTGATGATTTATTAATGTTAATAAATGTAGTAATTAATTTTCACCAAAGCATTATCAAAGCAATTATAGCAAAAGAAGAAAGAAAGTAGGAAAGGAAATGCAAAAAACTTGGACTAATTTATAAGACAAGGATCGTAAGCATCTAGAAGATGAAATGTCCATTATCCATCCATCCATCCATCCATCCATCCATCATCTAAACCGCTTATCCTTCTGGGTCACGGTGGGGTGCTGGAGCCTATCCCAGCTGTCATTGGGCGGAAGGCAGGCTACACCCTGGACAGGTGAAATGTTCATTATACAATTAAATATTTAATGTTGGAATTTCTACAATAAAACTGAACTGCTTTCCCTATTATTTCCATACACATTTTAAGTTTGTCCTTTATTATTATTTAAATACAAAATACGCATTGATTTGCAATAAGCCTACAGAACAGAATATCAATACAATATTTAATTATCCTTGCCTGTCAAGTTAAACAAAATATGTGGTCATTTCAAATATATTTCTAAAATATATTTTTGCAATGTATGAAAATGGCCAAAAATATATTTCTTAAATATATATATATATATATATATATATACATATATATATATATATATATATATATATATATATATACACACACACATATATATATATATATATATATATATATATATATATATATATATATATATATATTAAAATGCACTTATTTGTATTTGTTATTATATTTTTCAATTACATGTAATTTTAATAAAGGTTAAATATGTAATTAAATATACATGAACTGAATGAATAGTACTGACTTGTGTGTTTTGCATTGTACGTTGCATTAAGTATGAAGTAAGGCACATGCCAAATAAACAAGATATCAAAACTACGTTTTCACAGTAGCTCCACAGTAGCTCCATTTACCAACATTTATAATTAAGATACTGGTGTACAAATTAATTTCAAAAGATACAAATTCATTTCAAAAGGTAAAGTGCATTAGACAAAGTATTTTGGCAATTTTCATACATTTTCAAATTTACGTCATAAATACATGTATTTTTCTATAGTACATTTCTATGTGTAATATTTCCCCATAAATTTTAACATACGTGCATTTTAAAATAAATTTGCTAATATTATTAACATATACGCAATTCTCCATTTCAGTAGGTGGCAGTAATGGGACCTTAAGCTGGCTTGTCAACCGTCATAAACGCCGAATAAGAATAAGGACACTAACAGAAGAAGAAGGGAAAGACAACTGATCGGGGGCTGTAGCACAGCTTTTTTCTAGCTGACGGACCGGTGTTACAAGGCCTGTAGCTGATGTAGCTATTCTGCATGCACATTTGTGTTTGCTGCTCACTTACAGTAACTTCCAGAAAAAGAAGAGGAACAAGAAAAGGCCCTTCAGAAAGAATCGAAGGCTAAAGGTCCGACATTTTCTGATAAAAAATGTTTGAGGATGCGCATCTGCATGATTTCTAAAGTTAGTGAAACAGTAGATTTAACTGAGCTAACCTAGCTAACTTAAGTAAATAATTGTTCACGTGAGACAACCGTGTTTCGATAGCTGAAAGCTTCATTTAGGGAACGGAAGTGTCGTTTGTTAGCTAGGTTAAGTTACCGTTTTTAGCGATGTCAAATAAAGGATTCTCACTTTTGAGGTTATTGTTTGGTCGCATTAAATGTGTCTGAGGCGTTTTGGGACAAAATGCAGTTTGAAATGAAGTGCAGATGAAATTACAGCAGGAATAGCAATACGTGTACGCATAACTAAGTACCATTAACGCAGAGCTTCAGCAGACATGTGAATGTGGCTTCATAATGACTCCTTGAAAAAGCCCAGTTGGAAATCTGCCCATAAAATGCAACCAGATGACGAACTAGCACAGTAAAGTTAGCTAGTTTTGTTATCGATATTTGTCTTTTCAGCGCTAATAACATTTGAACGGACTATAGAAGCTAGCAAAGATTTACGTATTGACGACAGTACGACCACAAAGAGTGATGCACGCCTTTTCTTTTGCGGTTTGTGAGACATTTATCATACCCTTCTTTTTGTGTTAATACAAAAAAAAAAAGAGACAAAATTTCCAATCGGAATAAAATGCATGCGTTTCTAGACCACACCTACATCTGTGCACGCGTGTTTTGTTTTCCTCCAAATTGTTTCAGACCTTATAAAAACATATTTTACTGTTTCCTATAACAATAGATTCCGTCGGACAAAAATGGTCAATAGCTCCATAACCACTGTGTCCATACACTTATGAGTAACTGTGTTGTTTACTTTGATTTTTGGTAAGGATTGCACGCCACTTTAATTTAATTTATTAATTAATTAATTAATAAAAAAAGGATATTTAATTAACTGGTAGCTGAAATGTACTTGGAGATATAATAGCACATCTGCAGTTCTCTTAGAATGAATAACATAATATTTTATATTCGTTTAAAAAATAATATGGATGTAATCAAATACCTGATTTACATTTTTTATTTTGAACTTCAATAATATTTCAGCCACCTTACATATAACATTGAAAACAAATGTATATGGTGCAGCAAATTGTCCGCAACGATGCACAACCTTTGAAATTTGGATGTAACGCAAAAACTACTTTATATTCATTTTTGTATATTTTGATGTTAATAGCATTTCAGCTGCAGTATATGCAACACTAAAATTGGTAGTAAACATTGTAGTTAAGTAGCAGTAATGATACACAACCTCTGGATTTTGAAGGTAATAACTCCTTTATATTCAATAACTACTATTTTTTTTCCACCTTGAATTTCAAAAGGATTTTAGCTGCATTACTTACAACACTAAAATCAGCTGCATTACACCCAAAGTTAAAAGCAAAAGTTTGTGCATCATTACTGACACCTGTCTGGAACAAACACTGTTTATTTCACTCTTAAATAGAATGCAGCTAAAATGTTATTGAAATTCAAAAAGGAAAAAATAACGTAAAGTATTGCATTTAAAATAATGTTGTTTGTCATAATTTCCGATTAGTTGCACCATTTGTAGTTGTGTTTAACATTTGTATTTAATGTGGTTGAACCGCAGTGCATAAAAAAATTTAAATTAGGTGTTTGATTACTTCCATATTATTTTATAAATGAATATAAAAGTTTACATTAATGTAAAATGTTATATTAGTGTTATTCGTTCCAAGAATTGCAGATATGCTATTATATCTTCAAGCTGTCTATTTGAAGACTGCCTATAACTTGACACACTGAGTGTTTTGTAGATTTCTAAAACTTGAATTCCACTTAAATAAGACATTTTCTCATCTGCACTCTCATGTGATTGAAAACAACCTTTTTAAATACAAACATTCTAGACAGTTAACAGTTCTGTTCAACCTTAAAGACTGTGAAAGTCATAATCAAGCCAACTGTATATCAGTATACAGGTAACATCACTTTTTACAGGTATTACAGTATGCTCACTGTTAGAATAAGTATGGGCAAGTACATGTTTTTAAAAGCACTGCAATGATCTGGAGGATAACAAATATGTGTGCACAGATGTAGGTATGGTCTAGCAGTGCATGCATTTTATTCCGATTGGAAGTCTTTGTTTTTTAGTATAAACACAAAAAGAGGGCTATGACAAATGTCACCCAAACCGCAAAAGAAAAGGCATGCATTCTCTTTGTGGTTGTACTGTCGTGAATATGTAAATCTTTACTAGCTTCCGTAGTCTGTTCAAATGTTATTAGCGCCAAAAAGATGAATATCGAAAATAAAACTAACTTCATTATGGTTTGACGAACTGCCAGTTGAATATTACTGTTTGCTCTTAACAGACTCGAATTAACTTTTTTTACATGTTATATTTTCTTTAAAACTGTGTTCTGTCCTCATGGGTAGGGTGAGCAGGTAGCAGAAATCTAGCTGATAGCTAACTTATCTGTAACGCCACAGTAATAAAATATAGACATCAAGTTCAAGCCTTTAAATAAAGCATTGCTTAAGAACTGACATATGCAAAGTAAAGAATTTTACTTACATGCTTGTTATGAGCTTAAAATGTCTGTGTTTAGGCCAGGGATGACATAAAATTCCATATAGTAACAGACTAACCTTGCTAGCTTGATGCTAAAATAGCTAACTACCAAGGTGGTATTACGAAAAGCATTATTGAAGGGCTGGTTTTAAAAACAGATTTCTACATTAGAGATTGAGTGCATTTACATGCACTCAATAATCATAATCGGATTTCTGCAGTTAACTGATTATTTAAGTGGTCATGTAAACACCATGCTCCGATCTAGAAATCCGATTAAGGAATCTGATAAAGAGAGCTGGATTTTAGCTCAGTAATCAGATTTCTTAGTGCATGTATACTCGTACTCTGATTTCTGTCGGATTCAGTCTGCGCATGCGCTAGAACAGATGGCTGTTCCGCAAGATGGCAGCAAAATACTTTGAGAGGCATTGAAACCAAACACAAAATGAAGAATTTAAGTATTCTTCATCTTCTTGATGATGTATGTTCATATTTTCAGGTAAAGTGGTGTGATGTTTAGAAAAGCCGTGGCATGAACTTTGAGTTTTACGTTACATTTACATCATGTGTTCTGTGAGTTTATTGGCTGGTTGGAAAGCAGAAATCCGATTACTGCCTGAATCATGTAGATTCGGAGTTTCCCATTATCTGATTACTCAAGAGCATATAAATGTGTTAATTGGATTACTGACAAAACCTGATTTTCCGCAGTAATTGGATTATTAAGTGCATGTAAACGCACTCACTGCTGTGTAATGGCACTGCTTTATGGTTCTATGTTTTTACATGACTCTCAGTAAAATCAATTAGGATGTTTAAATGAAATGACTTCAGTAGCGTAAATAATTTGTGTAGGCTATAAACCATGGAAACAGATCAAAATTTAAGATGTAAAATTGCGGTGTGTTTATATATTTGCATTTCAATTTCCCACTCATATATGGAATATTGAGCTCAAAATGAAAATGCTTCTTCTCTTTGCAATTACATATTGTTGCCTTCTGCACTCATTCTCTGCCATTTGTGTACGTGTGTGTGTGTGTGTGTGTGTGTGTGTATGTGTATATACACACTTAATATCTTTGTACACTCTCATGGGGTTGTTTATAAGACATGAAGCATCACAAGTGGCTATATTTCTATTCCTTACTTCATCTGCTAACGTAAGAGTAGCTATAAACTTTTTGGCCACTATGCTGTTAGACAAAGCCTTTTCTGCGGAGTGGGCCATTGTTCTTGCCTGACTCTCAGTTGTTTCTGCATTTACACACATATGCCACCCAGGGAAAATTAGCCTCTTCTTCACAATAAGAGTCTCACTGTAACCTGTGAATAAATAACCTAATACTAACATGTTTTGTTGAACACACTTCAATATTTTATTTAGTCTCACGTTTTTTTTCATGTTGGGGTGTTAATAAGCATTCAGCTTGAGTTTATGCTTTGCAGAAAATTTCGTCTGTAAGTCATTCAAAGACTCCCGGGGTGCAGGAATAAGGTGGATTAGAAGAGATTATTTGTCCAGCGCAAATATTATTGGGGGGTGTTATTTCCACTGCTACACATTCGGTGAAATACATTTCTTTGAAAGTTACATGGTTGTATCCTGTCGGTAGTTTCATGCTTAAATGAGAAATGTTAAGTGTAATTTTTATTTTTGTGTAGTCTTTTCGGAGATATTGCGCAGTGGCCTACATTGTCCTATTAATTGTTAGTGCTTGTCCCATTATATCTGGGCTTCAATTAAGCAGGAAACAGCAGGATCAATAATCTGTAACATAGCCAGCGGTATGTCATTTTCACTCATGAAACAATTCTTGGATAAGGCAAAAAAATGCTTAGTATATTATCAGCATAATCCCACTTTAGTGTTGAAAATGACCCCTAAAAATATACAAGTAATTGAATAAAGCAGCCTCTGATATTGTGCCGAATCTGTCTGCGCATTGAGTGCATGTGTAAAACACAGGCATGTGAACAGTACAGATTATACTCACAGCATACAGCACATCACCTAAAGCCAAATAAAGACCCTCACAGTGATAGGTTAATGTAACAAACTAACAATGCTGATTACCTTTCAGTCATAACGAGAAGTATTACAAGAACACTTTAAACACATTTTTAATTATAAAATAAGTCTGGAGCAACATACTTGCTATAACCAAGTTCACCTCTAATAAGGTGATGTTGCTGTATTTATTTTTTCTCAACATTATTGGACAACATTACTCTTTTAATGAGATCTTGGAAATGTCATGCTAAAACAATTTACCCTAATTTAGCTCTTCTTAGCTAATATCACCTCATACCATCTGACATAAGCTAAGTGTTTAGTCGGACACAGTTCACTTTAAACATTCTGCCTTTGCATGTTCCTGCCAGACATACACTGTGCGATTTTAGCCCGTTTTTAAAGGCACACAAACACAATCGCAGCCACTTCCCCAATAGGGGTGAAGATGCAGAGGCTAGCAAAAGGGAGGCCAGAAAGTCGAGTGACTGTCTGCAACTCTGTTTGACTGAAAGGAGTATCTATATCTTAAATATAGTAATATTTTAAAAATTGTCTTTGTAAAACAAGCCGTAGAGAGACCGTATTTTCCTACCATGTACGTGACTGCATGGTTTCAGTTATAGTGCACAGTGTGGTACAAATTAGCAAAGCTGCTCAGTTTCTCATTGTGTCTGCTCAGTTCTTGGACATGCAGCATGTTATTTTGAATTAAACATTTTTATTGGAAAATGTTCCACTGTGTTTCCAATGCTCCATAATGCAGCTTTATTTTTAATTTTTAATTAATTTATTTTTTAAATTCAGCACCAAACACAGTGAGAAGAGAAGCCTCTCTAGCACTAACAGCTTAAAAATGCAGCCTTTTACTCCAGGAAACCCACCACTCCGTCCATATTCAGGCTCTTCAACATAAGTCCTTGTATGAATTAACCCAAGACAACCCAGCATAAACATTTCTCCTCTTTGAAAAACTGAAATACTTACAATGTGGCATGACAATCCCACAATAGATTTTGTTAGCATATTCTTGTACTATATTTATGCTTCTCTTAAATTGCATTGCACCATTGCACTGTTAAAATGTGGAAATATATACCATCTCACCTTGGGAGCCTGACATCCCCGTTGCGAGAAGTTAATGTCATGCTAATGCAGTGCTAGACAGCATATATTCCAAGGGTGGCTGCAAACATTTTGCTCATTAAAGTGGTCATAATAGACAAATATTATTCCCGAAAGGGAACTTGAAGTGTGGGTAAACGTTGATGCTGTATTAGTATGTGTGATTTACCTAAGAAAAGAGAATATTTGTGCTTAGAATCTATATGGGGAGCCTGCTGTAGGACTGTAGGTAAAGAATAGTGAGTGTTTTTTTTTGTTGTTGTTTTTTTTAAACTAGCCAATTTATTTTTTTTTAACTTCCAACTTTTCTAGGCTAATTTGTTTTTTAGATGCCAGTGATGTGCAATTGTGAAAGTGTGAAAGATCCCCCCCCCCCTTTTTTTTTTGTGTGTGTGTGTGTGTGTGAGAGAGTCTCCCTGTCATGCCTGAAAACTCTTTACCCTTCCTTGCAATATTATACAAATGTATTGGGATGTTTGTGTCGTCCACATACCTGACGTTAACAGGGAATCAAGGATCTCTCTTATACCGAGTTTTACCAATAAGGACTGTGGGTAGTGTATTTCTTTTTATATGGAGTGGTGGTATATAACCCCTTTTTTTTGTTTTTGTTTTTTTCCCTCTCACAGTCTCGTAGCTTGTGGGAAGTCTGTGTTGGAGTTAAAGTTTTATGGCGAAAAATCGAATTCTCTTCTCGATTTAAGTGGAATTTTTGCTTCCGGAACCAAATTATTTAGCTTTGTACAGTGTTGTAACATGTTTGTGATGTAGCTAGAAGCTAGTAAATATTAGTATTATCGGAACAGTAGCTAACAACATTGTTAGCAACGCCACTGCTATCTTGTGTACAAGAAGAAGTCAATGCCATTCATATATCAGAAGACATTTGTTCTGGCCTACATTTTTCCTGGCTAATGTGCGGATTGTGTGTCCTCCTGTGTAGGGGTTTTACAATGGCAGGAGTTGTTTACAAGGAACTGGGAATTACCTAATTGGGACAAAACAGAAAAAAAAAAATTGTGAAAGGGTACTGTTTTTTGGGGTACTGGGTTTTAAAGATGGTTGTTTCATAAACCCTAACCCAAAAGTGGCAAAAAAGAGTGCACCTTGAAGTATGCTATATAAAGAGGCTTTTAGTAAGGATTTTGGCTGGGAGAACAGCATAGTGCTTTGCAGCAAATGTTTGCGACATTCATATAATACAACTCAATTTCCAAAAAAGTTGACGCTGTGCAGAATGTAAATAAAAATAGAATGCAATGATATACAAATCATGTATACCATATTTTTAAAGGAAAATACTACAAAGATGACATATCAAATGTTGAAACTGAGAAATTGCACTGTTTTTTGAAAAAATATCTGCCCATATGTTTCAATGGATTGGTTTATTACCAGGTTTAGCAAATGTTTTTGAACAGAAAAGTCACCAAATCATGCTGGACTAATGTGTAAAGCACCAGTATTCCCTGATTTACTGATTTGTTCATGCCGTCTAGTTGTACAATTCAGTCACCATGACCTAACAGCTATAGTTCAGTGACAGAATGATCACTCTGTATTTCACAACAATTGCACTTTATCAACTTCAGCATGAATAGAACATGAAAGAGTAGACTCACCTGGTTACCAGCTTGCTAATAGGCTCCTCCAAGAATATTCAGAGACAGACTTTAAGTTAAACTTTTTACTAAGAGAATAGCAGGCTCCTCCTGAAATCTGTTACTGTCCCTTTTTTTAATTTTTATTATTCTATTTTGCTATAGGTATCACCACATGAGAAATAGGGAAAAGGCTGCTCAGGACAGAAGTGGGGTCCAGCTGTTAACTGGGAGGATGAGGAAAGCAATGGCAGTGTGCCATTTTTCTCTAAGCAGGTAAGCAGAAGGCACACTTAAATCACTATTTACATAGACCACCAGTAAACAGACCGGTGTTTTCCTACCTGTTGTGTATATGTTTTTATTGTTTGTGTCGCTGTTTTGTCAAGTGTATACAGCCGTTACTCATGATTGGGAGACTCTGCTTTATATTAGGGCTCATGTTGCATTGTTATCCGGTTCAGTGCATGGGATTAAATCCCAAGAAGGGACTTTTCCCCACCATTACTGAAGCTGACAGTCCCCCCGGATATCTGTTGTCTTCACGGCTGTGGGCGACAGTCTAAACCGCAAAATCAGTTCCGGAGAAAACGAGGGAGAAGAGGAGGTTCTTTGATCCGGCTGAAGTAACTGTTTAATCGACAGTCATGCTCAGGCAGCTCAGCTGCTCAATTCTGCAGCGTTCTCTGGTGGCCCAGTATGTTTGGCTGCGTCCTGTTCAGTCTGATCTACTTCCCTGCATTTCTCCAGTGAAACCCTTCTTCAGATCTGGAAGTATTAACTGGAATATTTTGCAAAACATCTCCTGTGTGTCTCCGTTGGAGCTGGAGTATTGCTCTGCTGTGAAACTAGCACTAATTTATGCTTGATCGTTTTCGAATAAGACATTTATGCTGAATTACTTTATTTCCTCGAATGGTCTGGATTTTATGTAAAAAACCTGACTTAAGCCAGGAGAGAGTTGTCAGCTCTCTGAATTGTGCCCATTGGACTATAGACATTTAAACTGTCCAAGATTAAATGGGCAAGGAGGTGGCCTTGCTGCTGTTCCCCTGTGTCTCTGGGTGCATTTGCAAATTTTGAGCTACTGGCCTTTAAAGTTCAAATTGAAAAACCGGTGCTTTGTCCTGTAATCTACAATCCTCCTAAATTACATGGTTGTTTTTATCTGAGATTTCAGACTTGTCATCTGTTGTACTTGAGTGTTATTAGTGGGGGATTTTAATATCCATGTAGGTGATACTACTAATGGATTTACCTTAGAATTTTTATATATTGTCGAATCTTTTAATTTTGTGCAACATGTTACTTTGGATTTGGTCTTTACTCTGGGGCTTACCCTTCATTCTCTTCATTTGGAAGACGTGTGTTTCTGATCATAAAGATATTATTTTTGAGTCTGTCTTTCAATCTAAAGCTGTAAACCTAAACATATTATACATTCTCGATTTCTAAAGAGCCAGCTGCTGAATTTTCAACTATTTGGTTTAACTAATGGTTTATCTGCACAGATGTCACAATTTGCATATATTACTGATTTGGCTAGCTGTTTTAATAATTTATGCACGGCTATTCTAGATGATGTGGATGAAGAAGATTCATCTCGGTGAGATGGCTGTGCTAGCGAGCTAGTTGGCTAATGTTAAGGTTAAAAGCCGTCCTACGTCCTGTTTAGAAATGCATGTTCTCTGGAATCGTTATTGGGGTTTGAACAGAGAATCAAGTAACTATTATTCACAGCGACCCTGTTCAGATTCCAGAAAACGTTTACAGTTTTAAACACTGCATCATTGTCTTAACGTCAAGGACACAGGCGCGTTCAAATTCGGTGAACACAGGAGAGCATTTGCTAACAGTTGGCAACAGTTTTCTGTTTGAGTTCTCCGCGAACGTTTGCGAACACTTGCAGTTTCAGGAGGTAGTTCTCTGCGAACACACAGGAGAGCTGGACTAAGGGTTAATGTCGAAATTAAATGTTTACACAAAAACGTTCAAATTTCATTGTTCATAGAGAGCAAGTTTGCCACAAAAGTTCACCACCTCCTTTAGAGCGCATCTTCTCTGCAGCAGAATATCTGCTCTCAGAGGAGAGCGAGCCTCTCACAAGAGCACAGAGAGATGTAAGTTTCAATAAAGACCTGTGACTGTAGAATTTAGTTGCAGCAGAGTGTAGACAGACAGCAGAATGCACAAAACACAGACTGCACAGTTAAAAATTTTAATTTAAATTGTGGAACAGTCTTCCCCTCGATATCAGACTCTCTAAGTCCACATCTTCTTTTAAAAAGCACCTGAAGACTCACTTTTATTCTGTAGCTTTTTTGAGTTGTGACCATAGGTAATATGGGTGGGAATCTCTAGGCACCTCACGATTTGATTCGATTATGATTCAGAGGGCTGCGTTGCGATTATTAAACGATTATCGATGCATCTTGAGGCATCTTTTTTTCTATACAGGATTTCTTTTTTCTCACTGTGTGAGGACTTGGTACTTTTAAAGCAAAGTATTGGTAATGATCCATAATGAATTTACTTCCAATATCTTTTATTAATAAAACAAATGGAAGTGATGTGGCAAGTGAACTGGAAGGCTCTCATTCACTGCTCTTGTTTGGAGCACATGAGACGCAGGCTGCCACTCATCTGTGATAAAATGCGCTGTTACTGTGACATAAATTCTGTGGCATTGGGTGTCCACGAATCACATTACAGCTATTCTACCCGTTTTATTCAGTGATTTCTATAACTTCGGTTTTGGTCTCGTTGTGGAGAGTTGGGGGGTCGCTGCATCAGTAAAGTATGCTTGAGACGGGATGCTGTATCTCGGCTCCAAAGTGTGCAGCGTAGTGTGAAAGCCCTGGTTCTCAAAGATTGAGGATGGACTCAAATCTTTGGCAATAAAAGTTGCGATAGAGTTTGTAGTTCGCTTCACCCTTTCCGAGTTGGGTGGAAGCTTTGACATCACTTGCTCGATGGTTCTCTGGTTGGCAGCAACTACAACCGGACGGAAAACGGGTGGAAACATGTAATATGGTTTCTAATGTTTGTTGTTTCTAAAATATTTTAGTTCAGTGTGACACAACTTGCATATAGTATGGCCTTTGTCCAGCTGCTAACACTGTTTTAACAGTAGATGGTCTTAAACACTGCTAATTCACCACCCTATAACCCTGAAGGCTGGCGTGCAGACTGCAGGTTACATACCGATGCAGAGAGTCTCGCCTAGCTAGTAGCTAAGCTAACGAAAATGCAAAGAGAGGAATTTAAGATGAATGTTTTGGAGACGAATGGACTTATTCGCATTTATAAGAACCGCAGTTGGTTTCCTAGTACGTTAAATCTGCAATGAGAGACAAACACTAAAAAGTTGCGAAGATGAAGCTTCTCTTTCAAATTCTCCCATTCCACCTTAAATGGTGCCGCATTTACGTTCTGGTGCCTCAGGCAGAATTTAAGGTGGAACGGGTAAATTCGAACAAGAAGCTGGAGAATAAAAAGCTGACTTCATCCTTGTAAAACAGTTGAACGTTAAGATATATTTTACAAGAAACTCTTCTACTTTTAAAGAAAAGTTTTCTAGCGGAGATGGGAAGAAAAACGGCTATAGCTAAAGCTTAAAGCAGAGTCTGCGTTTTCGTTTAATGTTATATTTTTGAATGTATACTAGGACATTAGCACATACTAAGACATATTGGACATTAAATGTTGTGGCTCCCAAGGTGGTTTGATTTTTGTTGAAAGGACAAAATGGATCTTCTTAGCATTTGGGTTATCGACTCCTAACCTAACCTAGCTTTTAATGCAGAGGGTGCCGGTCGAATTTCTTGTTCATCCAGTTGTGTTTTTGTTATGTGCCGCCACAGACTGTCCGGGCGCTGCACTTCCGCACTTCCAAGTTCCGCCTTTTGTGTTCAACATTACCTGATCAATTAAAATTTAGAAAATCAATTTTTGACATTTGTGAATCGATTCAGAATCGCCCACATCCGCATTGCGACGCATCTAAGAATCGATTTTTCCCCCCACCCCTAATAGGTAATGTGTTTACGTGTGTGTGTGTGTGGGTGGGTGTGTTTGTTTGTTTAATTTCTTTTTAAATATGTGCTGTTGAAATCCTTGGCCAGTTACCACGTCATATGGTCGAAGGTCCTGGCGCACTAAATCTACACACTTTCAAGTTTCATTCTGAAGTGCAATTTTGCTTTCTCAGCAGTTTGTGCAACTCTGCCCAATGCCCAAGATGGAGATCTGAACCCATGACCTTAGTTGTCAAAGGCAGATTCTCTCATGGTGAGCCATGACTGTTGATTGAGCCATGTAATATATTGGTATGGAGCAATAAGGAACCAAGCACCATTTTTGGAACAAGTTCACAACTTGCAATTATTGTGATTATTGAGTACTATAATTGAAAGTTAAATCATAATACGCTCTCAGTTTGTCATTTTGTTCCTAATTTGGTACTCGTCACTCAGACAATAATTAATGTATTTTTAGCCTTTAAGGCAGAATAAGCCAAGTCACGCCAATTTATTCAAATCTACACACACACACACACAACCCCGTCCCCACGACCCGCTGTTTAAAATGTAAATAAATTTAAATAAAAAATAAATAATGCAATCATTTGAAAATTTCATAGACCTGTATTTTATTCACAGTCGAACATATCAGATGTTGGAAGTGAGACCTTTTACCATTTCATGAAAAATATTAACTGATTTAGAACTTGACGGCAGCAACACAACTCAAAAAAGTTGGAACAGGGCCATGTCTACCATTGTGTAGCATCCCCTCTTCTTTGAACAACAGTCTGTAAACGTCTGGGAAGTGAGGAGACTTCATGGAGTTTTGGGATAGGAATGTTGTCCCATTCTTGTCTGATGTAGGATTCTAGCTGCTCAACAGTCCTGGGTTTTCTTTGCCGGATTTTTTGCTTCATGATGCGCCAAATGTTTTCTGTTGGTGAAAGGTCTGGACTGCAGGCAGGCCACTTCAGCGCCCGGACACTTCTTCTGAAAAGCCATGCTGTTGTGATAGATGCAGAATGTGGTTTAGTATTGTCTTGCTGAAAAATGCATGGCCTTCCTTGAAAGAGACATTGTCTGGATGGGAGCATATGTTGTTCTAAAACCTTTATATACTGTTTAGCATTGATAGTGCTTTTCCAGATGTGTAAGCTGCCCACGTCGTAGGCATTAATGCAACCCCATAACATCAGAGATGCAGGCTTTTGAACTGTGCACTGATAACAAGCTGGATGGTCCCTCTCCTCT